AGGACTATCTTTGGACAGGACTGCCTCTGGACAGGATTATCTTTGGACAGGACTATCTTTGGACAGGACTATCTTTGGACAGGACTATCTTTGGACAGGACTATCTTTGGACAGGACTGCCTCTGGACAGGATTATCTTTGGACAGGACTGCCTCTGGACAGGATTATCTTTGGACAGGACTGCCTCTGGACAGGATTATCTTTGGACAGGACTGCCTCTGGACAGGATTATCTTTGGACAGGACTGCCTCTGGACAGGACTATCTTTGGACAGGATTACCTCTGGACAGGATTACTGGACAGGATGCCTCTGGACAGGATTATCTCTGGACAGGACTATCTTTGGACAGGATTACCTCTGGACAGGACTGCCTCTGGACTGGACTGCCTATGTGGCCAACGTTAGCAGAGGAACAGCAGCATATCGGTGATCTCTCTGCTTCACTCAATTATACAGGCTGCTACTGCTCTATTTTGAATACTTTTCAACAAATTCGAGTTGATTTATAGATGTGTATGTCGTTGTCGTTTAGATCTATATCGCGTTGATATACAGATAGAAGTATATGTGTGTGTGTGTATACCTTCACCATATCTGTTGGCTTTAAACGGGACTCAGATTCTGTTGCCGTTAAAGAGTTTTTCTTCTCAGTTTTATTTTTCCTGTTGCAGGATAGTCATTTGAGGAACTTTACTTCCTGTTATCGCTGAGTTGCTTCAGAGATCAACGCCTTCTCCTTACTGAGGCTTGCTGACCTTACACTTGTCTCTCATTGTAAGAGCGACATATAATAACTAAACAGATCACAATGAGAATGGCAACAGTGTTTCGAGTGTGAGATGGAGAGGGGGGGGGGATATGGGAGGGGAAGAGTGAGTGTGAGAGGAAGTAGGGGGTGAGAGGGGAAGAGTGAGTGTGAGAGGGAGTAGGGGATGAGTGGGAGATGCATGCAAGTGGGGAGGGGGCTCTAAATTGGAGAATGAACAAATCCACAAGGGCCGTGATGAGGGTTCGAATCTACGTCCCGAAAGGATCCCAGATACGCCTTAATCGACTGTGCTACGACATGGTTAAAATAATTGCAACCGGGAGTTCTACTGACCTACCACGGATCCTTCAGCCTCTCCGAGACACAAACCAGAGTTTTACACAATTCGCCTCATGCACCCGGGGCTCTTGTCAATAAACTGTTCTACCGCTTCGCCCTTACTTCATTACACACAGAAATCACAATAGCTGTTGTGATTTGTGTCTAAACTGGAGAAGTTTCTGAGTGGGAGGGAATCTGATCTTCAAGATCTGACGTCAGATCAGATCTTCAGCCAACACATGATCGATCATGTGTTGGCTGAAGCTGGTTTTTGGGTCGTAAACTAAGGGCCGTCTTTGGATCATGCTAAAGGCAGGACATACCTGGTCGGGAGCATACCTGGTTAACTATATGAGTGCTTGATGTCAAGTGCTTCCGCTATGTCAGAGTCTCTGGTGTTATTCTGTGTGTAGAAATGATGTGATCTTTAATGGAGAATTCCTGTTTGTATGTTGTTGGACGCGTTGAAAGAGATGTTGTCTTGTTATATATATAGAGAGCGGTAGGTGGGTTGACTTACCTGAGGCACGCGTGAGAAAAAAAAAGCAAAGATTTCATTAGCTTCTTTCAAGGTCTTGGGTTTCGTGAGGAAGTTAGCGGTTCTCTTGTAAGTTTGTCAGTGGCATTTTCTGTTAAGGGTTCGTATGGGATAATGTTTCAGTCAGTTGTGTCCTTCAGGCTTCAGTGCCTGAAGGAGCCGGTCGGCCGAGCGGACAGCACGCTGGACTTCTGATCCTGTGGTCCCGGGTTCGATCCCGGGCGCCGGCGAGGAACAATGGGCAGAGTTTCTTTCACTCTATGCCCCTGTTACCTAGCAGTAAAAATAGGTACCTGGGTGTTAGTAAGCTGTCACGGGCTGCTTCCTGGGGGTGGAGGCCTGGTCGAGGACCGGGCCGCGGGGACACTAAAGCCCCGAAATCATCTCAAGATAACTTCAAGAGTGCTCTATCTTGTGAGCTGTTCAGAAGTAGTCTGTAATATAGTTTCACAGGTGTGATGTATTGTGTAACGGTGAGTTCTTTCGTTAGTGGTAACGAGGCAGTTCACCTTTCTTGGTATGTCCGTTATTGACAAGGACATGCCATGCTCTGCTGAGTTCCTCGGCATTCTCTTCGATCCTAGGGAATTGAGCTCTGGCTTGTAAAAATACAAAAACTCTGACTTACAAAAATACATCATCCTGGCATTCTATCAACCAAGTCAGGAAAGACAATAAGGAAAATCTTTGAATATTTCAGAATCTCCGATGATTCATGAAAATTAATGAAAAAAAAAGCTCTTTCCCGAATATATATTTTCCTTCCTGAGTTTTGTGTTCATGCGTTCCTTGCGTCTGGCAATCATCTTTGCATCGGCGTCGAATGGAGTGATTAGGTTACCGAAATCCATTAATTTCAGTAACCTAATCACCCAACTACGCTGATGCAAAGATTGTCAGACGTATCGGATGTCTGAACAGCAAAATTAACACCGTCAACAATGCGGGTTACTTGCAACAACCCCTCCCCCCCCCCGGCCCAAATATATATATACATATCACTAAGAACTCTTTGACCCGGCCAGGATTCGAACCCATGCCGTTCAGGATCACCCCTAAACGTACACAGTACCGTGACCACCGCACCAATGATCGTCTAATCATTGGTGCGGTGGTCACGGTACTGTGTACGTTTAGGGGTGATCCTGGACGGCATGGGTTCGAATCCTGGCCGGGTCAAAGAGTTCTTAGTGATATATGACTTGCGCGTTCATGCAGTTTTCTCACATATATATACATATATGTAAGTGTAAGTATTTAAGTCCATAATTATATAAATTTACAGTTTCATAATGCTTAGATTTCTTGGTAAAAAGAGTTCTGAGAGCTTTATGTCCCTCGCGGTCATAGGTTGCATGAACGCGCCAGAGAAAAAATATATATACATACAGATATGTGTATGTGTATGTGTGTGTATGTGGTGTTAACTATGCATGAACTTGAAGCGGTGGGAAAGTTTAATGATGGTGGGAGTAAATAAAGTTGTCACAGCGCCGCCACTATTCATAACCATCTCACTGTATCAACAAAACTAATTATAAGTTTTTTGAGTCTGTAAGCCACGTAGGAGAAAATAAATACAAACTGCTGATATAAACAGTGTATATATATATATATATATATATATATATATATATATATATGTGTGTGTGTGTGTGTGTGTGTGTGTGTGTGTGTGTGTGTGTGTGTGTGTGTGTGTGTGTGTGTGTGTGTGTGTGTACTCTGGTCCGAATTGCATTCCACCTTTTGTAAACGCATTAATTACATTATGTATCAAAGAACATACCTCGAACCCTGTTTATGTAGGACAGACGTAAATCTATGTATTTATGCATGTAGGTTAGATTTGAATTTGAAAAAAAGCCCTACAATCACCTTCTTTGGTTGATTATTCAATAAATCGTTGAACTATACGTTTGACAGATCTCTAACCCTGTCCAAGGATATAATGAAATGAATATATACGCTGGTTACCATTATAATTGTGTGGCCACGTCGGTGGTAGCGAATAATAATTACAAACTATCCTATTCCTTCTCTTCCTCCTCTTCCTTCCATTCTTCTGTCTCTCTCTCACTTTCCTTCTTGCAGTTCCTTCCCTTCATGTTCTTCAGTCTTTCCGCTTTCATTGCGACAACACCTCATCATGGTGGCGATTCGAACATCTTGTGTCATATTAAGGTGAAGGATTCGACCACCGCCTTATCATGTTGAAAGATTCGAACATCACTTTATCATTGTGGGGGGGAATTGGAACACCGTCTTATTATGGTGGGGATTGGAATACCATCTCATCATGGCAAGGGATTGGAACACCATTTAATCATGGTGGGTGGGAGATTAGAACACCATCTTATCATGATGAGGAGATTTTGAACACCATCTTATCATGATGTGGAGATTTTGAACACCATCTTATATCATCGTCATGGAATGAAACTCGATCGTGTCATGGTAAAGGATTCAAGCATCACCTTGTCATGGAAGGGAGGGACTGGAACACCCACATATCATGGTGATGGATTGGAACATCACTTTACCAGCCAGCAGCGCTGACTGCCTTCCTTGGTCTCCTGACGTCTCCACCAGCGTCTCCAAGGGCCGGGACCGCCCTAAGGAACGCCTGCTAATGCATGCAAGGAGTGGAGGCACGAGGCGATAATGTAGAGGAAGTTACGAGGCAGCTAATGCCATCTATGTTTAACGCGAGGAGCAACGGAAATCCTCAAAGACACGCTCATCATTTGCAACCGAACCCGTTGCAAATGGTTCGGTTGCATTGGAGAGAGAGACAAGCTCTCTCTCTCTCTCTCTCTCTCTCTCTCTCTCTCTCTCTCTCTCTCTCTCTCTCTCTCTCTCTCTCTCTCTCTCTCTCTCTCTCTCTCTCTCTCTCTCTCTCTCTCTCTCTCTCTCTCTCTCTCTCGGCATGAGACTACAGGATTAATTTAATTTTTATACAAGAAGGCGAGAACATTGTGAGAGTGTGGCCTGGCCAGGTACAGGAAGGTACAGGCTTAATCTTCATCAATCAATCATCAGGATAAGGATTTGGGATGGGACGGGGGGAAGGAATGGTGCCCAACCAATTAGACGGTCAGGGATTGAACGCCGACCTGCATGAAACGAGACCGTCGCCCTGTACCGTCCAGCCCAAGATGGTTTGTGAGTCGTCGTTCATTACTGGTTTTAGCTGTTTAACTATCCTGTCTTACGAGCATCTTAAGAAGGATTCTTGGTTCCTGGAAGCTGTTAATACCACGACTCCCTGACCTTCCTTCCAGGCCGCTGGGAATAACAGAAACCTTACCTGTTTAGTGAGTAATATGCTCGTTAATATGTGGCATACTTCGAGCCACTCGACACGACGTCCTTCATGGGGCAGGCACTGATGACCAGCGCGTTTGGTCGACGGGGACGTTTGGTCGACGGGGACGTTTGGTCGACGGGGGCGTTTGGTCGACGGGGGCGTTTGGTCGACGGGGCGTTTGGTCGACGGGGACGTTTGGTCGACGGGCGCGTTTGGTCGACGGGGGCGTTTGGTCGACGGGGGCGTTTGGTCGACGGGGGCGTTTGGTCGACGGACGCGTTTGGTCGACGGACGCGTTTGGTCGACGGACACGTTTGGTCGACGGCCACGTTTGGTCGACGGACACGTTTGGTCGACGGCCACGTTTGGTCGACGGACACGTTTGGTCGACGGACACGTTTGGTCGACGGACACGTTTGGTCGACGGCCACGTTTGGTCGACGGGGGCGTTTGGTCGACGGAGACGTTTGGTCGACGGACGCGTTTGGTCGACGGACACGTTTGGTCGACGGCCACGTTTGGTCGACGGACACGTTTGGTCGACGGACACATTTGGTCGACGGACACGTTTCATCGCTGGAAGACGGTGACAGTGAGGGATTAAGCCTGCCTAGCCTGTGCTACTACTACAGCTTCTATCCTTGTTGACGAACTGATCAGCCAGACTGTTGGAGTTCCCAATCACACACAGCCACTGCCCACTCTGGCTTCATTCATCACATTCATGGTACCCATATCAGACTTCCCCCTTGGTAATACTCAGACGTGACTCCCACATCCACTTTACTAGCAAAATAACACGTTAATCTATAATATATTAATCTTTATTATTCCATCAACAAGATAACTTATTATAGTTATCTTGAGATCTTGAGATGATTTTGGGGCTTTAGTGTCCCCGCGGCCCGGTCCTCGACCAGGCCTCCACCCCCAGGAAGCAGCACGTGACAGCTGACTAACACCCAGGTACCTATTTTACTGCTAGGTAACAGGGGCATAGGGTGAAAGAAACTCTGCCCATTGTTTCTCGCCGGCGCCCAGGATCGAACCCGGGACCACAGGATCACAAGTACAGTGTGCTGTCCGCTCGGCCGACCGGCTCCCGAAGCAGATTCAATCATAATATAGAACAGGTCACAATAAAGTGATAGTTAACTATTTTCAATTCGATCGTAAGCTTGACTAAGGCACATGTATAGATTAATCAGGATTAATCAGGATGTGTAGATGAGGCATATGTGTAGACGTGTTGATTAATGTCTTTGTGAACTAAGAAAATGGTATTATTGGGTCACTGTGGAGGCAGCTTTTAATATTACGCACTCTCGTAGGTCAAGGAAATCTTATATACACTAACAACTTAATTGAATAATGTGACTGATTATACCTGACAATTAGCCGTCAATAGTTCAACAAACTTCAAATTAATCTAGTTTCGAGGCTTCAACCTCATATATACGGATCCTTAATTTTAAATAAAAGTAACATTATTGTGTTTTCTTTAGTTGAGAAATTAATTTTAAATCACTCATTAAGGATAACTTTCAAACTCCTAGAATTTAATAATTAATTACAATTTTGGTTAGGTTATTAATGACCAGCTGATCAATAACAACCCCTGATGTACTAGTCCACATGTGCTAGACCACACTTAGTCCTCTAGGACCAGCTCTTACCATCCTTCAGGTGTGGGGGGGAGATGCGGTATCAAACTTGGTCTCGCTCGCCATAATTAAGTCCCACTAAAAGCGCAAACTTGGCTCATTAAGCTGCCCATCTTCTTGAATAACAGCACAAGCTGGCAAAGTGTTGTGCGTGCGTGCGTGTGTGTGTGCGTGTGTGTGTGTGTGTGTGTGTGTGTGTGTGTGTGTGTGTGTGTGTGTGTGTGTGTGTGTGTGTGTGTGTGTGTGTGTGTGTGTGTGTGTGTGTGTGTGTGCGTGCGTGCGTGCGTGTGTGTGTGTGTGTGTGCGTGTGTGTGTGTGTGTGTGTGTGTGTGTGTGTGTGTGTGCGTGCGTGTGTGTGTGTGTGTGTGTGTGTGTGTGTGTGTGTGTGTGTGTGTGTGTGTGTGTGTGTGTGTGTGTGTGTGTGTGTGCGTGCGTGCGTCCGTGTGTGTGTGTTCCTAGCTGCCACTAGCTATGCCTTTAAAAAACACAACGTGAGAGTAAACATTAAACCATTGTAATATTAACATTTTCTATACATATGAGCCTCGATAGGTTAGGTGGGCTGCTTGGGGTTCGTCCGTTGCTGAGTGTAAAAAAAAACTTCGATTTGTTACGAATTGACACATGGAGAGAACGAGCTACTTAGCCTGAGTGTGAGTGCATCTTTGAGACAACTTGGTAAGCAGTTCGAGGGGCTGCTCACCACCTTGAGATGGACCTTGAGGAACCCTCTCTGAGATAAGACTGAAGAAGAGGTGCCACAGAGTTTCAAGTGGATAGCTTTACACGGGTGGTCGTTAAGTCCATGTATATAAAGTTCACACACTTCCTAGGGTGTTTATATTTCATAAATAACAGTGGTTGTTTTGACTTGGAGTATTAGTAATACATCTTTTGACACTTTGGAGTGTAGCGATATACAGTATACACTACTCTCTACACCCTAGGTGGACTCTCTACACACCAGGAGTGCTCTCTACACACCAGGAGTGCACTCTACACCCCAGGAGTGCACTCTACACCCCAGGAGTGCACTCTACACCCCAGGAGTGCGCTCTACACCCTAGGTGGACTCTCTACACACCAGGAGTGCACTCTACACCCCAGGAGTGCACTCTACACCCCAGGAGTGCACTCTACACCCCAGGAGTGCACTCTACACCCCAGGAGTGCACTCTACACCCCAGGAGTGCACTCTACACCCCAGGAGTGCACTCTACACCTCAGGAGTGCACTCTACACCCCAGGAGTGCACTCTACACCCCTAGGAGTGCACTCTACACCCCAGGTGTGCACTCTACACACCAGGAGTGCACTCTACACCCCAGGAGTGCACTCTACACCCCAGGAGTGCACTCTACACCCCAGGAGTGCACTCTACACCCCAGGAGTGCACTCTACACCCCAGGAGTGCACTCTACACCCCAGGTGTACACTCTACACCCCAGGAGTGCACTCTACACCCCTAGGAGTGCACTCTACACCCCAGGTGTACACTCTACACCCCAGGAGTGCACTCTACACCCCAGGAGTGCACTCTACACCCCAGGAGTGCTCTCTACACCCCAGGAGTGCACTCTACACCCCAGGAGTGCACTCTACACCCCAGGAGTGCACTCTACACCTCAGGAGTGCACTCTACACCCCAGGAGTGCACTCTACACCCCAGGAGTGCACTCTACACCGCAGGAGTGCACTCTACACCGCAGGAGTGCACTCTACACCACAGGAGTGCACTCTACACCCCAGGTGTACACTCTACACCCCAGGAGTGCACTCTACACCCCAGGAGCGCACTCTACACCCCAGGAGCGCACTCTACACCCCAGGAGCGCACTCTACACCCCAGGTGTACACTCTACACCACAGGAGTGCACTCTACACCCCAGGTGTACACTCTACACCCCAGGAGTGCACTCTACACCCCAGGAGTGCACTCTACACCCCAGGAGTGCACTCTACACCCCAGGAGCGCACTCTACACCCCAGGAGCGCACTCTACACCCCAGGTGTACACTCTACACCACAGGAGTGCACTCTACACCCCAGGTGTACACTCTACACCCCAGGAGTGCACTCTACACCCCAGGAGTGCACTCTACACCCCAGGTGTACACTCTACACCCCAGGAGCGCACTCTACACCCCAGGTGTACACTCTACACCACAGGAGTGCACTCTACACCCCAGGAGTGCACTCTACACCCCTAGGAGTGCACTCTACACCCCAGGAGTGCACTCTACACCCCAGGAGTGCACTCTACACCCCAGGAGTGCACTCTACACCCCAGGAGTGCACTCTACACCCCAGGAGTGCACTCTACACCCCAGGAGTGCACTCTACACCCCAGGAGTGCACTCTACACCCCAGGAGCGCACTCTACACCCCAGGAGCGCACTCTACACCCCAGGAGTACACTCTACACCCCAGGAGTGCACTCTACACCCCAGGAGTGCACTCTACACCCCAGGAGTGCACTCTACACCCCAGGAGTGCACTCTACACCCCAGGAGTGCACCCTGAACAAGGAAGCATCAGGACTCAGCCGAATTGGCAGTGTGACAGACGTGCCAAGGAGCCCCCAGGCTGGTGTGGGGCTCCCACACAGGTGTAAACACATGTGTGCTCTTCTGGGGGCCCCTAAAGGGCACCTTAGGACCCCCTTAGACCACCTTAGGGCACCTTAGCTCGGCTCATGGTCGCTCCCTCCAACAGCAGGCCATCCCCACACGGGTGAGTGTGTGGATGGGTGGACGGGTCAGGGAATGTGAATGGATTGGCTGCTGGATGAGTGAAGTGGATGTGTGGGGGTGGGTAATGGATGGGTAAATGACGCGAGATTTATATTTGCAGGCGCTGGACTACAGCTCTTGGGTCCCCGCTTCTCAAAACGTCAATTGATTTCCATTCATGGGGCAGGAATCTCTTCCACAGACTAAGCGAACCAATGTCGTCTTTCCTCTCTTCAGGTGAAGTGGCTGTAACTCGTGCCGCTCTAACACGTGCTGCTGTAACTCGTGCTGCTGTAACTCGTGCAGCTGTAACTCGTGCTGCTGTAACTCGTGCTGCTGTAACTCGTGCTGCTGTAACTCTTGCTGCTGTAACACGTGCTGCTGTAACTCGTGCAGCTGTAACTCGTGCAGCTGTAACTCGTGCTGCTGTAACTCGTGCTGCTGTAACTCGTTCTGATGTAACACGTGCTGCTGTAACTCGTGCTGCTGTAACACGTGCTGCTGTAACTCATGCTGCTGTAACTCGTGCAGCTGTAACTCGTGCTGCTGTAACTCGTGCAGCTGTAACTCGTGCAGCTGTAACTCGTGCTGCTGTAACTCGTGCTGCTGTAACTCGTGCTGATGTAACACGTGCTGCTGTAACTCGTGCTGCTGTAACTCGTGCTGCTGTAACTCGTGCTGCTGTAACACGTGCTGCTGTAACTCGTGCTGCTGTAACTCGTGCTGCTGTAACTCGTGCTGATGTAACACGTGCTGCTGTAACTCGTGCTGCTGTAACTCGTGCTGCTGTAACACGTGCTGCTGTAACTCGTGCTGCTGTAACTCGTGCTGCTGTAACACGTGCTGCTGTAACTCGTGCTGCTGTAACACGTGCTGCTGTAACTCGTGCTGCTGTAACACGTGCTGCTGTAACTCGTGCTGCTGTAACTCGTGCTGCTGTAACACGTGCTGCTGTAACTCGTGCTGCTGTAACTCGTGCTGCTGTAACTCGTGCTGCTGTAACTCGTGCTGCTGTAACACGTGCTGATGTAACACGTGCTGCTGTAACTCGTGCTGCTGTAACACGTGCTGCTGTAACACGTGCTGCTGTAACTCGTGCTGCTGTAACACGTGCTGCTGTAACTCGTGCTGCTGTAACACGTGCTGCTGTAACTCGTGCTGCTGTAACACGTGCTGCT